ACAAACGCTGTCGGTTTAAATGTATGGTAGCTTTCTCTCCAGTGTCACTTGAATAACTCAGTGAGTTTCGCTACCAGCTGTACTTCTGAAGCCTCTTCCATTCTTTTTCAGCATTATAATTTTGGTTAATTTTCAATTTTAGGCCCTACGTCTCTGCAATTTGTGTATGAATAACAGAATAATTTTCCTCTTTTGTTTCGCCTTTCCTGTTCCTGAATCTAAATAAAGATGGCTTTTTAGTATTAAAAGTGGAAGAAAATTACAGGTAATTATCTTTGACGGTAAAAACGCTGTAATCAGCGGGCTACATGAAAAATTACTCTAATTATGGCTGCATTTAAGAGAATGGAAAAAAACCTTCTTGTGGATAAAAACCTTAAATTGTCCCCAATGTCTGCTTCAAATTGGATGGCACTGCAGCTGGAGGCTTTGTTCAGAATTGATCCTGGGGAGCTCTGAACCCAAAGTTTCACAGTGGGAAGGGGAAAAAAAGAAAAGAAAACATTTTTCCTAATGTAACAATACGAATGGTAGAAAATGACAAGACTGATCGGTTTTAAACCACTCTGAAGACTGACTGAGCGTGGAAGTTGCTCAAAAAAAAAAACAAAAAAACACCCCCCAAAAAACTGGTATATTGGTAAGTAGTCTTTGCTTTGTGTCTAATTATAGTGACTGTCCTTTTGCACGACTGTGTGTAGCTGTCATTATATGGAGCACTCTGAGGATCTCTATTGACTTCTGATAAATGGCTCAGTGGTTTCAAGGTTCATAATTTGAAGGATGCCCTGGTCTCTAGCCATTAATTCTCGCAGTATGGGGCACCCAGCTCGGATGAGGAAAGGGCTTTTTTTTTCATTGTCAGTAGTTGCTGTGCTTTCCACGAGCTGGTGAGGCTGGAGCTGGCTGGACAGCCTGTTGTGTGCCCGGGCACCTCTAAGGGCTTTGCAAAACATTCCTCAGCTTGCATTGTCTGCTTTTGAAAAAAAAACAAAATCAAAAACATAGGAGGGCGCCTCCTTTCTTAATAATTCGAAGTCTCGGACCTTTGGTAAAGAAAGGCAGGGCTCTGAGCTTTGCCTCGGCGTGAAAGCTCGGCTCAGCTGAGCAGCGGATCGCAGCAAAACGCCCGGGCGATTAGAAACTCCTTCTAGGCTTATCTTTGCGGTCGAGATACCTCCTTGTCTTAGCCGTAGCCTGAAAGCTAATCAAACCAGCAGCTCCCCCCTCTCCCCTCTCCACCTTTCCTGGCTTTGCTTGCAGATTTTTTTTTTGGGGACAGCGTCCGGCTGCCCGGGATGAACCGGAGAAGCGGGGTGGGGGGCAGGTGGGGGGATCCGCTAAGGAGAGAAATAGGAGCCAGGTGGGCGTTTTGTGGCTTTTACTCTATATATGAAAGGAGACAAAAACATACAAAGTATATGTACAACTAAAATTCGACAATATATACAGAAAGGTAGCTCGGGGGAAAAGGTTCCTCTCGCTCAGGGGCTGAACCTCCCTTCCCCGCTCCGCGGCGGCGGCCGGTGCCGCGGATCCCTCGCTCCGTCGTTCCTTGCTCGTGTCCGGGTGTCTGTCCGGCTGTGTGCGGGTGTGTGCGGGTCAGGGGGCTCTTCGCGGGAGACACGGTGGTTTCTTCTGAGCCGCAGCCCATTGCATTTGGAGAAAGCATGCAGGTTTGCCTCGTGGTAATGTTCTAATCGTACAGCGTGTTTTCATTTTTCAACTAGTTCTCTTTTTTTTCCTCTCTTCTTTTTTTTTTTTCTTCCTTTTAAATCCCTTCTTCCCTCTTTTATTTTTTTTCCCCAGTCCAGATTTGGTGAATAAAAATGAAGGAGCTTTGACTAGTCTCTCTTTCATCATGTAATGTCTTTAGCTCATTAAACAAGTAAAAACGGCTGCCATGGTAGATTCAGGTTCTTCTTGTGGGCAAAGTCTGTAAAAAGTTTGTTTTGACGTATACTCCACAGAGAAAGAGGCTGGTGCCTTGGAGTCCAAAGGAAAATATCCTAAAGAGAAGTGTCTTCTGTGCGCCAGAATGAAAATTGTGTCTTTCTGTTCAAGATCAATCGCTGAGGTTACTTAAAAAAAAAATAAAATAAAATAAAGCCACTCTGTCTCTTTGCCGCATCTACAAGTTCACACAGAGCCTGTTAGCTGGCACGGCTTGGCAAAGCAGGGGAACTTCTTGCCATGTCGAGACGAGGCGTTCTTGGGAGATTATTTCTCTTGGACAATTCACATCATTTGTGGTCTCTGCATTGTGTCTTGATGTGGAGAAGAATACCAGTGAGAATAGCCAGGCATGTAGCTGTTGGGAGGCATATTGACTCCCTTGGCAGAAGCTGAAACGTCCCAGACTGGAGGCAGAGCCGGAGAGCGAGGGGACAGGGCGGCGGAGCCGGGCAGGGGGTCGCTCTCGTGGGGGTTGCTGCCCTGCTTCAGCAGCTTCTTGAATTTGGAGCGCTTGTTCTGAAACCAGATCTTCACCTGTAAAGCAAAACGCAGCAGGTATTAGGCTGCCGTCAGCACCCGCGGCACGGCGAGGAGGGGGGATGGAGAGACCCCGGGGGCCGTGGGTTGGCTCTAGAGAAGGTCTTGAGAGCCCACGGGTGCGGAGATGAGGATGGGGAGAGGGGGAGGAAGGCGAGATACCCCTTCCCTCGGGCTCTGGATGCGGCTGGAGAGAACAGGAGAGGCAGAGCGGAGCTGAAAAGCGAGAGGGAGGCACGTTTGAACCCGGAACGTTTTTTTTTTTCCCCAGGCAGGCCAGATTGATCGAGCTGAAAATAAGATTCGTACTCCGAGCTCTCCTACTTTAACGCCCAGCTCAGAATTTTGGAGCTGGGCAAGCTGTTGTCAAAAGCGGGCAATCCTATGGTTTGGTGCCAGCAGACAGGAGCCAATAGACAAAGGGCATCTCACAAAGGAACCGAGCATCCGAAAACATGCACCATCGGGCAGTTCTCGAAGATGTGACGGGGGAAGAGGCACAATGGAACCAGGGTTATGGCTTTAATTTGAAAGTTGTTTTTAAATAAAGGGAAATTCTCTGTTCTCAGAGAGCAATTGGCTGTCGATATTGCTTTGGGTCTCATCCTGCTCCTAATCCAGCCTCAGGGAGGTGTGCAAGGATTGGGCCCACTCTGGCAGACGAGATTTATTATAGAAAATAGATATATAGGACATATGTAATATGCATATATTTCTTAAAATAAATAAATAACCCCCCCAAACCGTCAACTCCCACATGTGTATTTGACCTTGTAAACTTTGCAGGCGTAATGCTAGGGCATAAGCAGGGGTGCTTGTCTAGCTGCATGCTCAGAATTGGGCCCCTAAATCTATGCGTGCGAGAGGGAAAACAGCAGCGAGACAGAGCATGCATGTTAAGGATGCTAAAATTCCATTTGTAAAAGCATCAGGTCTATTCCCATGATTAATGTTTGCTGAGTATTTAAAAAAAATCACTGGCTGGAAGCGGCTGTTACCAACAATGATAAAATCCTGAAGTTACTTGTTAAGATCACAAATTCACAGGATTACATTTTACCCGAATTGATCCCATCTATCCATGCGTTTCTCCGCAAAACCCAGCCTGGGAAGCCTGTAATGCCTTGTGTGTCTTTCAAGCTTAAATTAGCAGAATGGCACAGCTACTCCAACCACACTTAACTATGGCTTAACCTGCTATAATTTTGTACACGACTGTCTTTGATCTTCAGATCTATTATCGCCTTTCGTACATTTTGCCCAAGGGCAACCTCTGCATTTGCGTTAGTCATCCAGGGTGAATTAACTATTGATTTTACAGGTACTTCCTAAAGTGTTCCTGCTTCTTCTCTACCTATAGCTTGCTACGAGGCAGCTTTGCTTTCAGCTCTACCTCAGGCCCAGCGATTCCTTCCTTGCCTTTGCTTTGTTCTCCTTTTCACAGCCGGGCAATCGCACCTCCGTGCCGGGAACGATCCGAAAAGACGGGCAATTTTAAAGTGTGGCATCAGGAGACAGTGTTTGCTCGCCAGACGGCTGAGGGGAGGGTGCATTCAGCTCCTTCTGCGGTAGAGCGGTCTCTCTGTCGTGCATTTTAGACAAGTCCCATTAGGCATAGATGGGGACCGTGTGCGCGTTACCTTTTCTACCGTTCCCGTATAGAGGTCAAAACCTTGGGGGAGCATCCTACTTTGCTTGGCTTGAGCAGGATTTCAGTGATTTTAGGATTCCCAGTAATTACCTGTGTCTGGGTAAGTCCTAATGAAGCTGCCAGTTCAGCTCTCTCTGGAAGTGCCAGGTACTGAGTCTGCTGAAAGCGATGATTTAAAGCCTGGAGTTGTAGACTAGAGTAAATGGTTCGAGGCTTCCGAATCTTTTTCCCTTTCCCATTGAATCTGATTTCACCGTTTTCAATCACTGTGGTTTTTTGCTGATCTGCAAGCAAAACAAAGCAGCTGAAACATCATCCTCCTTAGCTATTTGACGCTGGCGTTTTGGCTGTCGCGGCTGCTAAAAAACCCCGCAGCCGGCCCCGACGCC